CCTACTAGGAAGAATTTATTTGCTGCTGCATCAGAAGAAGATAGGGAAATAGACTTGTACCTGGGGAAAACATTTTTTTGTTGTTTTATTTTTCTTTTATAAATCCAATTTACATTCTGTGTTGGTTCCTTCCCTTTCCATGGATTTACCCATGCAGGGTTCAAAGGAAGCAGAGTCTGGCCCCAAGGGAGTTCAGATGCAGCAGACTGATCTACCAGCAGGCTACAATATGTTCCCAGAAGGTGCCATTATAATTCTGAGGCCAAGGAACAGCCTATTAGCTCTGCATGCTATTAATTTTCATGAACAGTTCAATCCAATGCTCACAGAAGCTGTTGGGCATCTTTCCATTTTGTCTAGCAGGACCTGGATTAAGGCTTATTTATCTTTTCATTATATACCTTATCTTTAAGGAAGAAGCAGCCCAAACAGCTTAGTACAGCTGTGCACGTTTCAAGCCCTCCACCAGGCTCTGTGCTCGGCAGTACGCAAGACGCTGTCTGCAGGTCAGGGTGAAGGCATGTCACAGTCAAAGCCACTCACGGAGAATTAAACTTCAGGCTTGTTTGACTAAACTTCTAAATTCACTGCTGTTCCCCAGTTTTGCCAACGTGAAAAAGCAGCCCAGCAGGCTCTTGAGTCACGTGCCAAAATGCCTCCTCCATCCTCCCTGGAACTGGAAACGATTACTAATAGGTATTCTTGCTGAAATGATTTAACATAATGTGCTGAATGAGATCACTAAGTCAAAATATCTTTCCCTAAGTGATTCTCTTACTGTGTGCCTGAATGCCAGAGGGGAAGGAGGACAGCATGAACTGAGGTCTTTTGCCGGCTTCTGCATTTTACAAAATCTCTAAGTTACCAGAGAATTCACATTAAGAAGTTTCACCCAGGCTCATTACAAGAGGTCCACGAGGCAGGTCTGGCAGGCAGTGAGGGGATGGAGACACAAGAATTCGGGTCAGCCTCTCTTATTCACACTTTCTCCCTCTAGAATATTTTTAATGCTCTCCAGCCTAGGCTGGGAACTGAAAATGGGCGAGGAGCTCGGGTGGGCATGAAAGCAAAGCTGGTGTGAAGATGGCACTCTTTGCCCTGGACAAAATGCACATCACTGCTGTAACTATATCCATTACAGCAGGCTACAACCACCAACTGAAACACAGGATTTGGGGAGAAATGAGGCTTGGCACCACAAAACACAGTACTGAAAGCCAGGGGTGCTCCTGGTTTCATTGACAAGTTGGGCTGCCCTCACCCCTCCAAGTATGTCAGCCTCCAAATTCACTTACTGAGGTCAGTACTCATAACAGTGGCATTACAGACTTTTGATTCAGTCTTCCTTTCTAAGAAAGCTCCGCACTCCCTGGCCCAGTATGGCTATTACCTGCCAACCTAAAGGATGATAAATGTTATTTATATTGCGGTAATGGCTAACCACTCAGTGGAGACCCGGGACAGGCTGTGCTATGGACTTTTTCAAATACACACTGAATGAGGACTGCCCACAGATGGCTGAGTGTATGAAACTGCTGAGACATTTCAGGATAATGTTCTTGAATGCCTTGGACACGATGACCTCCAACAAATCTGCAGCGCTTGTGCTGACTGCAACAACACAGGTGCTGTCCTAAAGTAAAGACATTCATTAACACCACACTTACCAATTACTGTGGCATGTCCTTACAATAGCACAAAAAACCATTTACTTCAACGCACATAACTGCTCGATGGTAAGACCTTTAAATTCTTTGATTAATAACTTCAAAAAAAAAATCTATTCCAAACAAAACAGAAAAGAGAGAGAAATAAGAGGTACATTTCCTAATATTTAGCTACTACAGTTTTGTTGTCCAAGAAATAAAGTGAATCAACAAATAAGAATTACTTGAGGTGTAGATGAGAAAAGTGATTCGGCAAGACTAAAATATGAAGATCCCGAACCTATAAAAAACCTGTAAGACCAATTTAACTCTGACTTGTGCATACTTGCAGGATTAGGCTTCAAATAATTGCAGGAAAATGTAAGAACTGAAAAACTAGGCCTTTAGCTTTTCACTGTGGTGAGCCCTGAGGGTGGATAGCTAACACTCCATGGGAAACAACCACCCAAGAAATACCCCTGCAAAGATGCAAATGAAATATATCTTCACATCATTATTAATCACTAAGATACACTAAGAAAAATCATCCAGTGACTTTCTTCATATGCACCGAGGTAAAGAAAGCTAAAAGATTAAGTGACATATTTCAAAGATTGTCTCGGAGAAGGTGCTGTGGAATGGGTGTCAGCCCCTCTTTCATTTCTTTTACAATTAATGTTCCAGTATTGAAGTTCTAAAAATATATCCAGAAACTAGCTGGCATTAGTGTCCATCAGCAGCCTTATTAAAAACCAAGTGCTAAAGATATACCTTACCTTTAAGAATACCCTTTTCACTTAAAAGCAGCTCTGGATGAGGCTATCTCAGAGCTTCATAGCCAAAAGCCTGGAGATACCAGATCCCAGTGAACATATTTACTAAGCACAGATCAACCTGCTAGTTTTTTTTTTATGTCTTTTCAATCAGAAGGGTGGTCAGTCCCAAACCAAATGGGAGAAAAAAAAACACACAGGAAGAGGCTGTGAATACTTTCTAGCTGTCTCATCTCTAGATGTCTCCTAAGAGGACTGATGTCTCAACATCTGGGCATTCTCCTTCTTGTCAAACACTCACTGAGCAATGGGATTTGTCAACAATCTGCTGAGCATATGCAGGTGACAAGTGTGGAGTTTGGAGAGCTCAACGGCATTTACAGATAGGTAGGATTTTGAGACATATGTGTTGAATCAGGGATGAGATTCAGAATCTGCAAAAATTATACAGAGTAGCTGTACAGTTTTACTTGAAGTTATTAAATCAGGCACCACAATATGCAAAAAGTAGCCCATGTGTGCTTTACACTGGAAGGAGGCCTACTGACTGAAGTACAACTCTGCCTATCACTCAACTATATGGAAACAAAGCTTCACTTATGAACAGGTTATGGATTGCCTCAAGCACAAATTTCACAGACAATGGATTTATAGCTCTCTCCAGCACCTACACCTCACCTAATAGTACTCTATCCCCTGTAGATTTTCAGACTGTTGCTTCACCATGATCAACAGGTCTTCCTAAGTCTTTTGAAAAATCTTCTTGACAAAGAGATAAGTCTCGTTGGTACAACACAAAGATGCATAATATCAAGAGATTTTTGCTTTACTGAAATAATCTCCAAATAATTTCTAAAAACAGCTGTATATTCAACAGTTTTCCTTTTAATTTTATTTATTTTTATTTTTTGTATAGATTTATCCACTTTCCTCCTGATAGGACACTGCTTAAGCCCCTCTGCCCCACAATCCAGAAAGTGCTAGCATGTGGCACCAAACTTTCAATAACATCAGAGGCTGTAGGATTTTTCCCTGGCAATTTAATTGTACAATGAAATCTTTGGTAAGCTACAGTCTGTATTAAAACTTATGTTTGCTCTTTGGTATTTAAGAGTGACTGTTTAGACTCTGAGGCTGTACATTCTTCCACTAAAAGTTATAACATCAGTGTCTAAATATTTTTGTTTCCTATGTCTGCTATAAGCAACACCTACAATCGCTATAACTGAAAATGACAAGATAAAAATAATTTTCACCAATTTGTTACGCCTTTTGCATTTAGCACTAAAAGTAAAGTCTATTTCATTAACAGAGTTTTGCTTTTTTGTATTTACATATAACAAGAGAGAAATAAGCGTGCTAAAAAAAAAAAAGTAAATGGTATTGTAAATATGAGAAAAATGGAAACAGGGTTCGTGGGTTGTACAGCACTGAAAGCCACTTAACACATTTGAAGAGGAAAAATTTTAACTTCCAAGTTGCCTCACTTTACTGCTTTTAAGTACGGCAGTATATAAGATGGCCGTCATGTATTTACATTCGATGTCCTTGCTCAATGGTCTCATTATAAGGTTATATCCTTGTTAGACGAGTTCTCAGTCTCTACTTCTCATGTTCACAACTTTTGAATTAAGTCATTAGAAAACTTTAAAATATGCTATCATTTTTTGAGAGTGGGGAGATGTCATCATGTATATATCACAAAGGAAAAAATACAAAAGCATAAAATGTCATGAATTTTTCTTCAAGCAGATAGTATTGCAGTAGCACTGAACAAGTTTATATTAATTACTTTCAGAAAGAAAAGGAGATGTCATATCTGAGATAGAGGATCCTACCAAACCCACTAAGAACAATCCGTAAATCTAACAATAGTGAGAATTTTTTACTTAAATCATTGTGACAGCTGTCAAGCTGGGGAAAACTTTTTGTTAATGCCAATACAATTGTTCATTTAAACAAGAGCCAGTAATTCAGTCACATTGGAACAGCTTATGTCCCCAGCTCTGCAGTACAATCTGCACACATGCATATATTACATCTATATAGTTGCTCTTTAATTTTTATCTTTGGGGCTACAAAGTCATTTGTCCAGAGCCTGAGCAGAGTTCTGCAGAAATCAAGCCAGAAGGCAATTTGTGATGAAGTTGTATTGAGCCTCCTGTGCTTTCCCTTGCTGGGAGGGAGAGGTTTGCCACTCCAGGCTGACAGCTCCCTGCCTGGCAGGCTAACCGTATGGTTTGGTGAGTGATTATCCCTCACTCGCCCTTTTCTCCAGCACCCACAAAATAAGAGAGCACAACCATTGGTAGAGATGCCACATCACACTGTGTGTAGCGACAAACTGAAGTACCAAAAACGTTGACTGCATCCTCCACTGAGACCCTGTGTGACCGCAGCTTGACCCAGAGCTTACAAGGAAATCTCAGTACAGGGCTTGGTGCTTATCACAGGCTTTTTGCAGCCAATAAAAATGCAGAGATATCATTATATAATTCCACTCAAGGCAGGTCCTATATCATCAAGGTGATTTTCTAACAGTGAAAACAACTCTGAACAAGAAATGGCATGCAGCCCCTACCTCCTTGTAGACATCGTCATTTCTGCTGAAGTCTCCTGCCCTCCTCGGAAGGACGTGGACATGGACATGCTGGAAATAAGAGAGCAAGTAACAGTGATTACCAAGATCATGCCTTTCTTTTCTGGATTGTCAGCATTTTTCTCCACACATACAAGTAACCATGCACCGACTTGGAAAGCGGGGGGCAATGTATTTTGTCACAAATACTTATGAAACATGGGGAAAAGGAACAAAAATAAGACAAAAGTCATTATGAAATGTCATTTTGATGTTATATTATTACTATTTTTTTCTGTTAAGCGATTATGACAGTCTCTTCATGTCATTTAGGAAGGACAATTCAAGATTTTTATGCCTCAAAATCTACTAAGATTTTTTTAAAAGAATGCCTGAGAAATCAATCAAACACTCATCTATCTGCTTTTCCGCAGTGAGCTCAGCTACAAAACCGCAAACATTCTTTGATCACACGTATATATGCAAAATACACAGGATTTAGATAGCTTGTACCTGATTCTATTTGATGAGATGGAAGTCAGTTGACATTCATGTGCCTTGCTAAAACATGCTTAAAACATGGCTCAAGTCTATAATGAAAATTAAAAATAAAAAAAGATTTTCTTATGCTAATTGTAAAATTTAAATACACCTACATCATGTTAGCTTTAATCCATAAAAACATTTGCTCAGAGAATAAAATGAAATCACGAGGATGTTTCAGTTAGTGAAATATTCTGAATTCCATAACTTTTTATTTTTTTGTTTTTTAATTTACCCTAGAGAAACCAGTTTTTTTACTCTTATCATTATCCACAGCTTTCAGTGTTTTCAGCCTAGATACGAGGATGTTTCTTGAGGGTTAAAAACCATGGTTTTGAGTAATACATCAGTGATAGTGTTCTGATAGTGTATTATACTAATACATCATGGGACCGATAGTGTTCTTGTGATGTATTAGTGCAATGTATCATCTGAACATCACTGCTCTCATGATGTATTGCTCAAAATCACAAAGCAAGTTTAAAGATGGTCTTCAGTAGTCCTAGGCCTGGAACGTTGCTTTTGGACAAAGACAGACTTCCAAGAAAAATATGAGTGAACATGAAAGTTTGTACCAATACTGCAAAATTTCATGAGTGTGTCCCATCTGTGATTCTTCTTAGACTTAAAGTTTATTCATAAAACTACAGAATAATCTGTCAGTTTCTTTCTCTTCTGGTACAAGGAGTGATACCTTTGCTGCAAATATCAATTTTCAGGATTTTCTCTTGATTATATATATATATATATATATATATTATATATATAATATATATATGATATACATGAAGCCTAATAACATCTGTCAACAACCATATCTCCCCCAGATTCCACTCATTTTAAGAGCAATTTTCACCTTTGTGGCAAAATGTTCCAGGATGCACACAGAAAAAGATCTGTATGCCCAGGACAATTTGGAATATCAGTGAGCACACAAGATGTAGTCCAAAGCTCAGTGCAGAGATACTGCACTGCAGATGCACAGACCAGCACAGCAGGTAACGAATGAGCCTAATGTGAGCTTCTGCCCAAAATGGTTTCACGTGTTCAGCATGGAAAAAGAAGTATTTATGACAGCATATGGACCACTTGGCATCAGTAGAGACATTCTCAGGGGTTAGTCACCTTTACTATGTGCATTACATTCTTATACAACACCAGGCCATGTAGTAAAATCTGCCACTTCTATCAGAAAACAAATGGGCACTTCCATATCTGAGGTAACTACAATCAATTAAAGAGAGAACAAAGAGAGAACTTTTTTTTTTTTCCAGACATTCCAATTATTTATTTTTTTTTTAATTCTGTGCATGGGACAGACATAGAAATCTGAATTCTTCCTGCTGCTTGCATAATAGAAAGAAACAGGATCAGCAATTATGGCTCAGGTGGATTCCCTGTCTTCAGCTTTTCCAAGAAAGCAGAGGAAAAAACAAGCACAGAGCAGTGGTTACCCTGTGGGAGTGAAACCAAAGAAGGGGATTTCACATCTTCCATCTGCCTTTCAGCTTATGGTCTTCCCAATTTGGGGTGCTAGTATTTTGATTCATTAAGAGTTCTTTAATTTATCATTTTTGCTCTTTATTGTTACTTGTTATTGCTAAAGCCAATCCAAGACACTTAAGCTCCAGCTTAATTGCCAACCTGTGAATTGGTTCAGTGGGAGTATTTGCATCATAGGTATAATGTATACATCTCCGTGTTTTGTGTCCACTGCTGGATGCAGCAAGATCTCCCCACCCGGGAGCAGAGGATGTTACTTCAAGTTACTTCAAGTTACAAGCTGTTTCCTTTTATTTTCTTTTCCAGACAAAAAAAAAAAAAAAAAAAACAAAAAAAAAAACAAAAAACATCGAATGTCCAAAAAGCCATTTGCAGTTGACTGAAATGTGTCAGTAAATACAAACAAAACATTTGGCTGCATTTTTTTTTTCTTTTTTAAACCAAACAAACAGATTTACGCAAATCTTCTCTCAAAACATTGTTTGGAAAGGAGAAATCCAAACATTGTGTATACAACATGTCAAAATAAAGTGTTTCAACTCTTCCCAGTTATTGTGGGCACCCTCACATCTGGGTGTGTAGCAGAAAGCACTGCTGAATTCCAGGCAGACTGTATTCAATCACTGCTGATTATATTTCATTTTTCTCCTAAAAATTACTTTCCCCTCGTTTTGCATTATTTTGATTAATAAGCAAGAAAAGCAACATACAACAACCGAGACATTTACATTAATGGACCAATCAATATTATCCGCATCAGGGTATAAAAAATGCAGACACACGCTTGCATTGCCTAGTGTGTTAGCTACCATTCCTTCTTCTTGTCAGACACTGATGGAGAAAGCTGCATGTGATCACAGGCATGCTGGGTCCGACACCATAGGGACATGGCAATATGTACCCAGCCTGAGGGACATCGTGTGGTCAAAGATGCTAAAGCCCCACCAGTTGCTTCTGATATCTGGAAGGAGGATGTAGAAACTGCAATGAAAAATGTTTACCTAGGCACAAAAAAGCAGGACTGAACATTATAGGACCTTCAAAATCAAAATTTTTAGACTGACAGTTTCCTAGGGTCAGGACTTACAGCTTCCTCTCTTTTCAGAGCAGCTACCATGTTACAAGTGAAATCTCAGACTGAGAAAATTATAAAGGTGAGATTTACCAACTGACACAAAAGCACCCTTAAGAGAAGTATTTTTGAGATCTTTAAACCCAAAATGGACAGAGAATTAGAAAAGTACTGCAAGGAGCAAAATCTGCATTGCCAAGAGGGGTTTGTGACCCAGTCAGGACGAGCCACCTCTGACCTCCCCTTGCAGCTAGGGGACCCTCTGCTCGAGCCCCATGATGTTCCCAGTGTGACTGTGGGAGCCTGGTGCCCGCTAATCCCATCGCTGCTGAAATCTGGCAGCAGCACAAGCATTCATGGGATTGTGCATCTAAAAACAACTTCCAATGAGCCAGGATTGCAAAATGCTCACAAAAATCTTGGCCAAAAAACCTGCAGTCTGTTTTGTTGGGGGGAAAAAAGAACACATTCAGGTCAGGTGAGTTTTGCTTCAGCACTCAAGGCCATGCAGAAAGCAATGTTCCTAGTTATGGCTGTTTTTATATACTGAATTATGGTCGAATAGCTGATGTGTCACCACCACGCTGGATGTAAAGTGAAAATAGCAGGCAAAAACAGACACTGAAAGAGATTTCCTGGGTAGACCAGAATAGTGAAGATCAGATGACCCTGCCACACAGCACTGGGGAGGACACGGACGTTGCCTGTAATAATTCATGAACATTATGTTGTGTTCACTCAGTTGCTGGGCTGGTTAGCAGAGCAACAAAGCTCTGCTTCCAACAGAAATGGAGATAATAGCCTGTACAAGAGCTCCTCGGCACTCACCCGGGGTTTATTAGCAGTACACTTTGCTATAGGATGAATACATAAAAACTGGCAATGGGCCTCGTGCCCCTGAGGACTGCCAAAAAGGTGGTAGAGGAAGGGCTGATCCCCCCACACCTGCAAGGGCAGTACGTGCCTGAGCTGTGCCTCCACACTGCAAAAACAGATGCCTTTTATCTGTCTAATCCTTTCCCTTGTTACATTCCTTGTTAATACAGGGACAAGGCTTTCGCATGTGGGTTCCCACAGTCTCGTGGTGCAGCAAGATCAAGTAAGGGAGTGATGTGGGGCACAGAGGGAGATCAGGGTGAGGAAGAACAAGCCCCAGTGCCCCTGCCACTGCGGCTGTCAGGCAGGAGGAAGGACGAGAAGGACAGTGAGGGCTACAAACTGCAAGACATGCTGGCCAGGAGACCCCTGTCAGCTAGTTCGCTGAGAAAAAGGATGAAGGTTTGCAGATAACACCTTGCCAGCTGCTGAAAGTCTCCTGTCCATTACAGCCACATGGGCTTCATACAGGAGCCTGTGATAATGCTTCTTCTAAAGTACCAGATTAACTGTAAAAATTCCAGACTAATAACCATTCTCCAAGTAAGACTGTCAGCGGGTGATAAAGAAAATCAACCGTAATACTGAGATAGCCACATGAAAAATAGGGCAATTTTGTCCTCTCTGTAAACTGGGCTTCCATGGAGCCCTTGTTTGCTATTCTTGATTAACTGCTCAATTATCCCTGTTACAAAATTATTCCGCAGAAAGCCCTGCCTGTATATCCATAGCTCATTAACAGAAAGCACTCCCTCTGCTGTCCCCGAAAATATATCGCATTACCCAGATGCTAACAGAGTTGGTACAATTGTTCTTTCTAGGCATTGCAAGCCAATTTCTAGGGCCCTTGAGTTGCAGGCTCTGGCAAAGATATTCTCATGGGAAAGAAATTTCTGTTCAGTGAGTATTTATGAATTCTTGACATTTTTCCTAGTCCTGAATTAGGTTTGGACAGAGAAACACATTAAAATAAATAAATAAATAAATACTCCTATCCAGGATTTTAAAAACAGTAGTTTGGGTCAATTAAAATATTAATTTTTCCCAGCTTTCAAAATTATTGTTAGTATTATTTTTT